AAAATTCTAGAAAAAGAAGTTATATACTAGCAGATGTCTTCTTGGCCAAAAAACCTAAAGAAAAAAGGTACTTAAATGACTCATAGAGTCCAGTATGGATTGATTTAGTTGAAGTGCTGAACCTGGGACTGTGAGTCTCTATTCTGTAACCAGATCCAGTTGTAGATGCAGCTTACTTGCCCTGCTAACGAATGAATGCCCATTTTACATAAGTTTCCCAGCTCACTGAGACTAGGAACCTTTCTGATGGCCCAACTCCTTTTTTGTCTGGGTGTTCAAAGAGCTGAGAAACATAGGCTAAACTTATTTTTAAACAGTATGTCAGTTGCTAAGTTTCCAAATCATAGTCTCCATTAGTTTTCATCCTCCAAACATATGTTAATCTGGAAGATAAATACACCATTTGTCCTATGTTTCCCTGAATTTCCAACTCAGACAGGAAGTACAGAGTATTCTCTTCATCACTGTACAGATACGTGATACCTCACTGAATCTTATGTTGATGGTCCAGGATCATTTTTAGGAGCACCTGCTGCTGTGCTGTTAAATTGCACAGGTGTCCTTTGACCCCATACTGCCACTGCTTTCTTAGCAGTTTGGGTTTAGAGGTCATTCTTCATGTATGCCTGCTTTTTGTAGTTTCCATTTAGCTGTCAGGCTTTCAACTGTCACTTATTAACATCACTTTGCTTAACTCCTGCATCCACCTTCTCTGCCTCCCTATATTAGCTGCTTCTAATCTGTTTAGGAAATCAGATACGTAAGCTTGTGATTTGTTTCCAAACAAAAAGACCAGCTAGGATTCTTAGGGCTCAGTTTTAAAAACTCTACAATAGCTGCTCATTGTGGCTTTTCCTCCTTTCCTCCCTGGGAGGCATTTGCGCACTGACATGGGCTACTAGAGGTTTGTCCTCTCAGTGCGGTTGATTGGCGAGACATCTTCAGGCTTGAACAAGGTATAATTAACTATAAAAGATGCTCTCTTTGAAGACAGAGATGGAGTTGCTTCCATGTGCCTTGTCTCACCTGTAGTTTTTTGTGTGGCATCCAGGACAGCAACAAATCATCCCAATTGTAGTTCATCGACTTAATGTCATCTGCCCAGACATGGTAATGTAAACAGTAAAAATCCACACTGGTGTTTTATTTTTACTTTTAACACTCAGTTATTTTATAGAAATGAAAATATGGAGAGAAAGTCTTATACTTATCATATACTTCCTACCTCTGTTGCTTTTTATTTCTTTATGTAAATGTAAGTTTCAACCAGTATCTTTTTCCTTTTGCCTGAAGATCTTCCTGCATTCAGGTCTGCTAGTGACAAATTCTTTTTATTTGTTTGTCTGAATAAGTTTTGTTTTTGTTTTGTTTTGTGGAGGTATTTTTTTTTTTTGCAGTACTGGGATTTGAACTCAGGGCCCTGCAGCTGTTAGGCAAGTGCTCTACCACCTGAGCCAGGCCTCCAGCCCTGAAAATCTTTTTATTTTGCCTTTATTCTTAAAAATATGTTTTTTACAGGATATAAAATAATATGTTAATATTTTTCTTTCACCATTTTGAGCATGTCATTCCATTGTCTTCTAGCTACAGAGTTTCTGTTGAAATCTAGTATCATTTTTGTGTTTGTTCTTCTGTATACAGTGTGTCTTCTTTCCCCTGCCTGCTTTTCACAGCTTTTAGGCAGTTTGATGATGATGTCCTCAGTGTGTTTTTCTTTATATTTGCTTGGGGGAGGGGTTCGAGCTTCGTGAGTTCGTTTATATACTGTTTACATCAAACTTGGAAAAGTTCTGACTGCCACTTCTTACAGTCTTTCTGTCCTCCCTATGCCCTGCTAGGAGTGCAGTTTCATAGGCAATAGACTGTTTGGGATTATCTCATAGGTCTCTGACACTGCTCCTTTTATTCAGTTTTATAGCCTGTTCTGTTTCTTTGCTTAATTTTGCACAAATTCTATTGTTATGCATTTAAGTTCTCTGATTTTTTTTCTTCTTTTTGTCTGTTTTTAATCTGATTTTGTTAAATGTTTGTTTAAGGTATTATGAGGTTTTTAATCTAAAAGTTACATTTGATCCCTTAATAATCTTCCTTTTTCTTTTATTATGTCTGTATTCCTTTTTATTAATAAGCATAAGTTACAATAGCAGTTTTAATGTGCTTATCTTTGTCATTTCTTTGTTCGTTACTCTTTTCTGAATCTTTTTCCCCTACTAGTTAGGGGCACATTTTCCTGCTTCTTGTCATGTTTAGGAATTTTTTTTTATTATATGCTGTATGTTATGAGTGCTACATTGTTAAGTGTCTGAATTTTGTTAATGTTCCTTTGAAGAATGTGATGCTTTGTTTTGGCAAAGCAGTTAAATTATGTTCAAATCTGTCTAATCTCATTGAGACCTATTTTTAGGCTCTGGTAAAGCAAGCTTCATGTAACCATCACTCCAGAAATAGCTCAACCCCATTACTAAGGCCTGCCCTCTCAGGGGCTTCTGTTGCCTGCCCTGGTGATTGAGTGAGAACATTCTCCTTTGGCTAACTGGAGCATGACACCTCCATACTTTCTGTAAACGTTGGGAATTGTTCACTTTACGTCTTCCTGGTCATTTTTTGCTCTAGTTTGTGGAAATTTACTCACACACATAAGGCCTAGAACTTGGCACATTTCTGGTGCTCTTTGTGTAGATTACTTTTTGTTAGAACTCTTACCCTGTTTCTAGCTAACTCAACTCCCTGAACTATTCTTCATTTTCTTAGCTTCACAAGTCTACCAAGTTTAATTTGAGTTCCTTTTCCCTGTATTTAGTAGAACGGAACTATCTCCTGGTCAAAAATTGGGTGATTGTACAGCTTGGCTTTTATTTTCTCTTCCTCCAACAATCACAGTTCTGTGCTGCCTATTGTCTTAATATCTACAGAAAGTAGTAATTTTAAATATTCTGGCTGGTTTTCTAGCTATTTACTAGAAAAAGTTAAGTCGATTCTTGCTGTTTCATCATTGTTACAAACAGAAAACCCAGGAATTGCATTAAAATTGGTTTATTGAAAATAATTCTTTGATAATCGTGGTGGTACACACCTATAATCCCAGCATTTGGGAGGCTGAGGCAGGAAGATCTTGAGGTCAAGGCCAGGCTAGGCTACAGGGTAAGTTTGAGTCCAAGCAGAATAAGCTCCTGGTCTGAAAAATGAGAGAAAGAGACAAGCAGACAGGTCTAAATGGCATACCTGCATATGTTAGAAATCTAAGCCAAACATAATTTTTATAAATTTTTGAGGATGCATAATAGTGTGCTCATCTCATTTCCCCCCACATCTTTCACCTTTCCTGTGGACTGGAACTGCTCCTGCTCTAAACAGAATAAGTATTACAGTTATTCAGCACAGTCACATAATGACAGAGGTCAGGTACTCAGGGAACTCCCTGGAGGACAGATAAGAGATCAGTTTTTCTCACTGTAAATGAGTGCTCAGCGGGTGACTTCTCCTTTGCTTTGTTCTTGTCCTTTACATTAGATTAAGATTTTACTCTTAGGAAGGGCTTTGTGAATGTGTTGTGCAGTTTGTGAATCACCTTCTGAATCCTTGTGGAAGTCTGTGCTAATAGACCATTCTATATGTGAGCCAGTAAGAATTGATGTGTGAGTTGAAAGAACCCTATTGAAATGGATGGCAGGAAAAGAAGCTGATTTGTAAGGATGCGCTCACACAAATATCCCATTGAATAAACTAAGCCATGTAATTGGAAGTGCACTGAGTTTTAAGGAATACTGGGTTTGTTAGTAAACATAAGACAAGCTCTTAGCTAAGAAGCAAGTAAGTAGATTAAGAAAAGCTGTGCTATTTGTATGTTGGGTTTTGGTTAACAGTTAATTTACTTCAGGTATGTTGGTGATCTGATCCCTTCTCAGAAGTTATTAATACTGCCTGCTACAGATGTTACTTTCTTCTTTTTTTAATTAGTCCAAGTTAGTGTAGCCTTCCAAATGACTCACACTTACTATATAAGCCCTTGGTACTTGGCACATAAGCACTGTGGAAGCTTTAATTTTAATTTTGCATCATTAAAATGTCACTTATAAATGGATTGATTTTTTTTTTCTTCATTTTAAATGGAACTAGACTAGAGGAATACTGATTGGATTCACTGCTGTTTAGAACATCCAGAAGTTAATAGAAAATAGCTTCACTAAAGGAGAAATGCAGCATGAAAGAAGTGACATTTTTAATTTGGTGTTGGCAAGGGTGTGGCAAGATAGGAATGTCTTTGAATTTACAGGAAAAAATCACATTTATCTTTCTGAAGATAAATTTGCAGTAAAATGCCAAAACATTTTTACGCTCTGATTTAATAATACTGGTTCTAGGGATTCCTTCCTTAAAATTGTTTGAAGTTCACACAAAAAGTACATGTTGGAATGTTTATTGCAGTATTACTTCTAATGGTAAGGTATAGAAACACCTGAAGTATCTAACAATGAGTGTTTCAGTTTGGCATATTCCAATTCCAAAGTACCTTATAACCACTTAAATGTGTTTATGAAATGTTGTATAAGTCTCAGCTATTATTTTAAAATGCACGAGTTCTGAGTGTGGTGAACATTCATGTAATCTCAGCACAAGAGAGGCTGAGGCCAGTGGATTGAGAATTTGAGGTCAGTTTGGCTAATATAGCAAGCTTGTAGCCAGCCTGGGCTACATAGTAACAACCCTGTGTCCTCCCTCCTCCCTGCAAAAAAATAGTAAGCAAAATTAAAGTACATGCAAGAGTAGTCAAAAACATTTTCCAGAGTTGGAGTGGGCCATCATTCTAGATCTGTGGAAGCAAGCATGATCTTTGTAGCTGCATTCTGAATTTACCTGGAACTCTTCAGACATCCGTCAGACATGTCAGATTCCAAATGGGCAGGCAAACCATCACCTCTAAGGCTAGTGGTTATTTTATGTATGGATGAAATCGTACGTTTGGTTCTTTTTAACCAGTAATGTCTGTGCTTGCTGTTCAGATAAAAACTTTGACGATGAAGATTCTGTGGATGGTAACAGACCTTCCTCTGCTAGTTCTACATCATCCAAAGCCCCACCAAGCTCACGGAGAAACGTTGGCATGGGGACCACCCGCCGGCTTGGGTCATCCACTCTTGGATCCAAGTCTTCAGGTAAGACCACATCCTGCTTGGACCTCTTGGGCCTGATGTGTGTGGTATTTGCCTGTGGTGGGTCGTCAGAGGTGAACTAGTGCCTGTACACAATATGTCACTGCTGGCTGTCTTTAATTGAACTGGCCCTGCTCTGTTGATGCGGATAAGCTAGTGGTCCTAGCTTGAGATGCCTTGTAGATCTTTGCCATACAGAGGAAAGATAGCTCTGAGATTAAGAGCAAATATACCCTGATGATACTATTTGCTCATCTGGATCCAACCTTGCCTGAAGACACTATAGGGCTTTTTAGCCAATTTCTTTTTTATTAAGACTGAGAATATCCAGAAGCTAAGTCTCACCTTCTGTCTTCAAAATGTTTTGTTCTTACAGGAAGCATTTTTCCTTGTGACTACTAGTGTAGCTGTTGAATTAAACAGTAGGAGAGTAGGTCTCTAAAATTTTGAAAATGTGCTGAAATTTCTTCAATAAACCACTCCTCTCCTACTCCCTATCTGGGCAGCTTGACTTTTTGTTACTTACATCTCTTATTTTGCTGTTGAATTTTCAATTTACATGCACATTTTCTATTTTTTGTCTCTAAAAAATTGGATAGCTACTGCTTTTAGAACCGTGCCTACCATTGGGCCTTTGAGCTGGAGTGGGAAGGGGGGTGAGGAGAAGCTCACAGCCACAAAAGCCAAAGCTAAATGGGCCAAGTAGTACTGGAATGAAAGACCGCATTAGAGTGCTGTCACCTGATGGTCTTTCCTGGGTTCTGAACTGGGCTTGGAATTTTGGTGTTGACTGGGTCCACACTGACATGCCGCTCTGACATGCCAGCCCTTAGAGAGCCGTGCCAACAGCAGGAAGGGGAGTTTGTGGTAGAGAGAGCAGGAGTAGCATTGTTTCTGATGTTTCTTGTTTTTCTTTTTTAGTTCTTCTTAATCTTTGGGTGTGTTTTTTAAGAATTAATTTTTTTGTTATTAAACTTAAATTTTTATTTTAGGGCTGGGTGTAGCTGAAATGATAGGGTGGTTTCCTATTATCATTTGCAAAGCTCTGGGTCTGTCCCCAGCAACCCACCCACCCAGCCCACCTCAGCAAAACAAAAACAAATGTAAAAAGAAAGTAATCACTTTAAAAGTCTTTTAAAAAATTTTATACTGAACTAAATTTTATTTTTAAAAGGTAATAAGGCTTTATACATCCTTTTATAAAATGAAAATTCAGGCCTTAGAATTAAGCGGTGAGTCTTTAATATCATAAAGCTGTTTATATCAGGAGTTAAAAGTAGTGGTAGCATTTTACCCTTATGAAAATGTCAGAGAGTTCAAATTGTAACTTAGATCCTCAATGATTCAAGTGTCCTGGTTTGTCTTACACAATAAGGTTTTGGTCAGTTTTAAGATAAAATTCCTTCAGACACACTATCCTTAAGTCCTCCACTACCACCATCAAGCAGCTCACATGGCAGGGCTCACACGATGGGGCTCATGTGGTGGGATAGCTGGCTGCAGTGGCAAGTCCACAGTGGTTGTTTCTGTCCTTGGCTATTTGTACCCCACTCAGGACTCCAGCTGTTCTTTACAAGCCAAGATTTATCTTTGTCTGCATCTGTTTCTTCAACTACTGTTCCTAGCTAACTACTAGGAAACCATGATTGAGGTCCTTGCTGCTAAAATCTGGATCAAAATAAATGCCTGATTTATAGAATTGGAAGGATGCATGGCCTGCATCCATAGCAGCAGCAGTAGGCCCCACAGTTGCCACTGCTTTCATAAGGGCCTTCTCCCACTGTGGGATGTCCACAAATCCTTTGTGACTAGCCATAGACTACTCAGGACTGTACTTGCACGTTCCATCCTTTGCTTCATAAGGATAGGATTCCTCTGAGTCCAGGCCTCCGTGGTCCTTAATGTACTGGAAGGCATAATCCATCAGACCACCATTGCAGCCCTGATTGCCCTGAGTGGAGAAAAGTCCACTAGGTTCTGCTCACTGAGTGGGACCAGTTTGCCAGTTTTCTGGAACATCTGTCCTTTCAGGGCACCAGTTGCACAAAAAGCCCAACAAGAACCACACTGACCCTGATTCTGCGCAAACATCACGTAGCCTTTCTCACTCCAGTCCACAGACTTGGAGACGCTACCCAACAGAGGTTCCTGAAACACTTTCTTCTTCTTATGCTTCTGCCTCTGAAAGCCATCCATCACCTGCCTGAATTCTTCATTGGTCATGTCCCCAAAGCCATTCATTTTCATGGTGAAACCATGTTTCCCTTGGCTATAGTCCTCATTATGGCAGCTCAGTCATTTTCATATTCTTCTCCCATACTGCTCTCATACATCCTTCCTCATTCATGCCATAAAGTCTCTTGTGTGTCGACTTCCACTAGTACCACTGTGTATCTAAGATTTGATCAAGTTTTGGAGTAGCCAAGGCTATTCCCAGCAACAGGCTGCCAGGAAGAATGAAAAATTCATGGTTCAAAAATCTGGTGCAGCCATAGCTGCACAGGCACACTCTGCAGACTCAGCTCCTCTGAGGTCATTTGAGGTCCAGGAATCTTAAAAGGAACACTTTTAATGTTTCATTTACCTAGTAGCATGCATCAGGACTTCATTTTTTTTAATGACTGCAGTCTTTCTAAACTATCACCCCCACCCTTGGTCTGTCTTTGAGAAATATCAGTTCCACAAACAAAGCTCGGAAAATTTCTAAGTGATCAGAATACTGCTTTCATGCCTATCCCTCATCATTACTCCTTCCAGAAGTACCCACTGTATCCATTAGGCAACGATATCAGCCCTGATGTTCTCTCAGCTCTGCTCTCATCTTTTCATTTCTCATGAATCTCTTACTTGACTCTACATCCTGTATGTGAATACATGGTGCCTGGTGCAGAGGAAGTGCTCGGGACCCATATAATCAATGGTTCCAACCCTTTAAGCAGATAAAAGGTCATGTGAGAGACGCCGCACACCACATCTCAGAGTTGGTTGCTGTCCATTTACAGTTAGTTTTGTCGTTGCACACAAACAGCGTTTATCACAGTTAATGACATGGAACTGAAGGAGTGACTCAACCAGTAGAGAGCCTACTGAGACCCTATCTCAAAAACGACCAGAGCAAAAAGGGCTGGAAGTATGGCTCAAGCGGTAAAGCACCTGCCTAGCAAGCATGAGGCCCTGAGTTCAAACCCCAGCAGTGCCCTCCCCCCCCACCCAAATAGTGATGTTATAATGGAAAAAATACTGGTAAAATGCCATTTGATTTTCTTTCTTTCTTTTTTTTTTTTTTAAAATTATTGTTGTGCTGGGGGTACATTGCAATATTTACAAAAGTTCTTACAACATATCATAGTTGAATTCACCCCCTCTATCATTCCCCCATTCCTGGCCATTTTATTTTCATGTGCAAAAGTGGAGGTCATACTAGCAAAGAGGTAATTTTCTCTTAATTATGGCTTCTATGAACACAAAGCATATTAGAGCAACTTTGTGGGGGAAACTTGGAACTGATGCTTAAATCAAAAGTTGATTATCACAAGTTTAAGAAAATTAAAGTATTTTGAGACTAATATAAAGTAGGAATGAAACTGAAATTCTTTGAACCTGGTTTGAATGTTTCACAAATTTGTCATGCCAGATTCCCAATAATAACATAATTAACTTATTCCCTATAGAATTAAATTTTTCTGTTATATCTGTTTATTAGGAATCAATGTGATATATATGTATACATGTGTGTGTGTGTTTAAAGGATTTAGACTATATATATATAGTCTAAATGCAAACTCTCCCTGCTTAAAAAAGTTGTCTAAGTGACCATAACTAATGTACATAGCGTTGTAGAATTATGATACTTCTTCCAGTCATGATAGCACATGCCTGTAATTTCAGTACTCGGGAGAATTGGGCAAGTGGGCGGTGAATTTGAGGCCAGCCTAGGCTAATAGCAAGACTCTATCTCAATAAACTAAAAAGATACAAATAAAAAAAAAAAGAATTGCTATGCTTCATCTTGATATTAAATCAGTAATGTTTGTCAATTCTATGACACTCTGAATGTATATGAGACCTTTAGAAAATGCTTCTAAATCTTCCAAAATGTAATTTCCTTAGTACATATTCATTTTTCTCCAGTGTATGTTTTATACATTGTTGTTCATTATGTTTTAAAATCATTTTTCAAAAATAATAATATGACATGGTTGTAAAAGGGGGATTGATGGGGGGGACCAGCAGGTGGGAGGAAGGTGAATATTATAGAAGTATATTGTATGTGTAAAAATATCCCAGTAAGCCCCAAAACTGTGAGGAAAAAAAAAGAGGGGGGCAAGAAGGAAAGAAAGTCCTTAAGAAAGAGTAATATAGATGGTGTTAAAAATTATTGACTAAAGTCAAAATATGATATGCATGTTTTAAATATCATAATGAAACCCCTTTTTTGCAATTTGTGGTAATAAATATTTTAAAATATTAAACATTTTAGCTGCAAAAGAAGGTGCTGGTGCTGTTGATGAAGAAGATTTTATTAAAGCATTTGATGATGTACCTGTAGTACAGGTGAGTGAGGATATTTGAGTATGATTAAAAACAGGGTAGAAATATTTTTCGGATTTCATTTTTCAAATATGCTTGTATTAATCAGCTTTATGTGACAACAGTGAAATGTCTGTGGCAAGTAACTCAATAAAGTGAAGAGATTTATTTAACTCACTTGTAGTCCAAATTATCTAGTGCAGCCTTGGGGAAGGTTGCTCCTTCCTTGACTGCTTTACCTCATAGTCAGTGGTGAGAGCAGGTGATTCACATTTCAAACCAAGAACAGAAAGAGGACAGGGTGGGACTAAACTCGGTTTTTTTAATAAAAACTCTCTGGGAGCTACCTTTCAAGGGCACCCCCCAGTAACCCTGGGCCCTTTCTCTGGGGCCTACCTCCTAAAGGTTCCACCACCTCCTGATGAGCGCCACATGGAGACCAAACCTTTGGGGGACACTCATCTAAACCATAGCAGTGCCACATGCAGAATTCTTTATGAGGGTTGGTCATTTTAACTGTCAAGACTACAAGAGATGTGAGGTGCACGCTAGAAAATGTTGGAGCCTTTTTGTTGTTGTTCATTTATTCACATGTGCATACATTGTTTGGGTCATTTCTCTACCCTGTCCCCCGACCCCCACCACTTTCCTCCTTCCCCTCCAGTTCCAGGCAGGTCCTGTTCTGCCCTTATCACTAATTTTGTTGAAGAAAAGACGTAAGCATAATAAGGAAGACAAAAACTAGTTTTTGCTAGTTGAGTTAAGGATAGCTATACAGAGAGATTCCTACTATTGCTTTCGTGTACCTATGTGTTACAACCCATGTTTATTCAACTCTAACTGATCTTTACATTGGTTCCTGATCCCCTGCTCATGATAACCTCTGTCGTTTTAAGGTTTCTGTATTAGTTCCTCTGGAGTGGGGACATCAAACGCTTTCATGTTTTGGGTTTTCTGCCTATTCCTGTATCTCCCGTATTGTGCTCTCCCCTTGTCATGTGATCCAAGGGCAACCACATTGCTGCATTTGCCCTAGATCTAAAGTCCGTATATGAGGGAGAACATACAATTTTTTGTCTTCTGAGCCTGGTTGACCTCACTCAGAATGATGTTCTCCAGTTCCATCCATTTACCTGCAAATGATAAGATTTCATTCTTCTTTACGGTTGAGTAAAATTCCATTGTGTACAAGTACCACATTTTCTTAATCCATTCATCAGTAGGGGGGCATCTTGGTTGTTTCCGTACTTGGCTATTGTGAATAACACCACAATAAACAGGGGCGTGCAGGTGCCTTTGGAGTAACCTGTATTACTTTCCTTTGGTTATATCACCAGGAATGGGATTGCTGGATCATATGGCAGGTCTATGTTTAGATTTTGGAGCCTTTTAAGTCACTGACATGAAGAACAGAAAAATCCAGGCCCAAGATCTTTCAGGAAGAAAAGAAGTTGATAGTTCTAGTATGAAGTTCACCGGACAGGTCACATAGAAAGAAAGAAATGAGGAGGTTAAATAAGAGAATAAGAAAGTGTGTTTACTTAAGAATTTTCCTAAGGAAGCAGTGATAAATTTGAAGGATTTTAGTATGGTAAAAGCTGTAGAGAATGGCTTCATAAAAGCCTAGTTTATAACATCTTTGATGCTTTACCTAACTACCTAAAAGATTAAGTAGATTATTTATAAATGTTGGGATATAGTCACATATTTCAGACTGCTTTGTGACTCAGTATCTTCTGTTGCTGATTAGGATTATGCTCTGGATTTTTATAGTACTTAGTGTTTGTTATATGCAACTCTTTGCCACGTGGGGTACCCTATGTATAGATCACATAGTCAGTACCACAAGCTCAGGTTCATCTTCAGTACTTGACCTTTCCAGCATGCATCATTCTTGGTTGATATCTTACAATGGGGATGGAGGAATAACTGAGCAAGAAGATGTAAAGTGTTTAATTTAGATCTATAATGTGATGTTGTAAGTAGTACTGTGAGTGGAAAACCAACTTACACATCACTGACTGTAGGCTTCTTTCTCTTGTACGTGAGATCCCCCATTACATTTGTAGTAAAACTGTGCTAGAGGCACACCTGTGGCAGCAAGTCTATGGGAGACCCATTTGTAATGGGAACTAAGTTTTATTCTATGATGACTATTTTCTCATAGGTACTTCTTAAAAGTGAATAATTTCTTTTTATTACATTTACCACTAGTTTCAAGTAATTGAGAAATAATCTTTATTCTTTAAATTATCTTATATTAACTGTAAATTAATTTTGCTTACAGATTTATTCCAGCCGAGACCTTGAGGAATCCATAAACAAAATTAGGGAAATATTATCTGATGACAAGCATGATTGGGAGCAGAGAGTAAATGCTGTAAGCTGATGACTTCATATGATTAAACTTAAATTGACTTAAATGTTCCAAATACTTTATTATGCAATTGGAGAATGGCTCTAATGAATTTTAAATCATAAATATTTTAAATATGAATTACCATATTTATACTTTAGCTTTTTAGTAGAGCACCTCACTTCTGATTTATTTATATATTCATTTATTTTATTGTTCATTCTTTTTTTTTTGGCAGCACTGGGATTTGAACTCAGGGCCTCATGCTCGTTAGGCAGGCACCCTTACTACTTGAACCACATTCATTTATTTTTGAGATGGAGTCTCACTGTGTATCCAGGCTAGCCTGGAACTTGCCATGTACCCAGGTTGGCCTTGAACTTGTAATCCTTCTGCCTCAGCCTCTGAGCGCTGGGATTACAAGGATACACCACTATAACCAGCCGTAACTCTATTTTAAAACATGCCAAATTACTTCTTTATGTATCTGTTGTTCTCTTAACAAATACCTCCTTATGAGACTGTGGAATGTCTGGTGATAGCTTCATTCTTCCTTAGTATAAATTTAATTCTGTAATTGTTTGCCAGTAAAATGGCTTTTAAGTAGCATTTTCAGTATATGCTTCCCAATATTTTTCTTTTTTTCTTAATCACTTGCTAGAAAGTTGTGTTTCTGTTTTTAAAGGTGGGTTAATGAAAATATGTGGGCTGAGCATTAAAGTGAGGGAAGTGTGAGGAAAGCTGCCTTTACTTTGTTGACCAGCAAGATGAGTGGTGATTAAATTCTACTGCGTTGTATTTCACATTCAGACCAGTCAGTGAAAGAAACATTGGAGGATAATATTGAAACATTGTAGGAATACTTCTTGTTTTGATTCATTATATAAATGGCAGTTGGAGTGAGATATGGGAAAGAGTAAACTTTTACAAGCCAAAAGTGGTTTTTAGTCCTTAGTATCATGGAATCTAAATATACTGATATTTCTGATTGAAAAACATGGTTTACAGAATTACATTTATCGCATATACTGCATTTAAAGTTATTTGGTATTAGCTGATATGTAGACTTGATCATATATATGGGGTAGTATTTGATTGGCTGAATTATTCTGGGGCAATTGTTTCTACATCAGTTGAACTTTAATGTACTCTTTTATATGTGATGGCTTCTATTGTTGCCTATATTCTGTTTAAGAACTGTTTTGTTTATCTCTGACTTTTTTTAAATACTATTAGCTAAAAAAGATTAGATCTTTACTTTTGGCTGGTGCTGCTGAATATGATAACTTCTTTCAACATTTGCGTCTTTTGGACGGAGCCTTTAAACTCTCTGCTAAGGATCTGCGGTCTCAGGTAGTGCGGGAGGCTTGTATCACGTTGGGGTAAGGACTGCGATGCTTCACATTCTCGCATGCCATAAAATATTCTTGTCATAGAGCTTCAGAGATGTCCACTTGCATATGGCCACTGGGTCACTTCTAATGGAGCATCTAGCTGGTCTCCAAGACCCTTCCAGTTATGTCTTCTGTCCATACTTTTAAGTCCCTCCTTCCCAATTCTGTAATATAAAATGGATTTTAAAATTCACTCCTGATGTACCTCTGAAGTCTCTATCTTCAACTTGAAGCAGCTATTAATATTAATATGAAAACTGAAATTTTCTAGAATTCTAGTAGATTTTCATTGATTTTTTCTTAGAGGATATAGTGTGGTTATCCCAGTGTTTATTCGTTTCCTTATTTCTACAAGAGTGTTGTAGCTGTAACTTTGAAGCTAACAGCAGGCACTGCAGTAGCATTTTATTCCAGCTAAACTTGTGTCGAACTTGGTATTGAATGTGTCTAAACATTCCAGCAGTAGTACCAGCCTGTAGGCATTGCAGCTGTTTAAATATTTAGTGGCAGGTAGATACTGAAGCATTATTACTTTATGTAAAAAATAAAAAAAGGCCATAGAGTTTTTTCGTATTTAGGTTTTATTAATACATGATGGATATGTTTGTTTTTTGCTATTTTAAGACTTAGTTGGAAATAATGACTTTTTGCAAAAAAAAAAAGTTATGCACATTTTAAAATTGTTTCTTAAAGTATCTTACTTTGGCCCTTGTCTTTTATCCCTAGATAACTTTGAGTAAAGACTTTCAAATGTTAAGAGGTTTATATGCTTCACTGTTTATAAGACTGTGACTACAACCCAGGATTCATTTCTTATTGTAGGCATCTGTCATCAGTTCTGGGGAATAAGTTTGACCATGGAGCTGAAGCCATTATGCCAACTATCTTTAATTTAATTCCAAATAGTGCCAAAATTATGGCCACTTCTGGTGTTGTAGCTGTTAGGTTAATCATTCGGGTAAGTATGTTATAGGACCGTGTCCATAAAGTAAGCAGTTGGTAAATATTGATGGTTGATAAGAAGTAGTAGAGGCATTTCTCATTAATCGTGTTATACATACAAAATTGTCTTCCCCCAACCCCCACCTAATAGCAGCATGTGACCTTTTTATAGTCTATAACATAGGGTGTGCTGAACTGTGGATGAGGAATTGATCGACTCAGTATTGGTTTTATTTTGTTTTGTTTTTTGAGGCGCTGGGGATTGAACCCTAGGCTTGCACATGCTCAGCAGATGTGCTTCCACTGAGCTCCATCCCCAGCCCCTCACCAGTGGCTTTAAATGTTTGAACATCTCCCATTGCTGGGCTTCTGTTCTGTTCTTGTCTCCCTAGTATCACTCCCATTCATCCCTCCTTATTCCCAGTCCTTCCTTTTTAAGCATTTGTGCTTGTGGTTTTGCTATTTACCCAAAACACAGAAGCAAAATAATCTCTTCAGTTAAGTTTTCTAGGCACTTATTTAATTAACTCTCTAGGTACTTTATGTGCAAGTTTTCAGTAAAGCCAAATTGTTCACAAAGGGTTAGAAGGAAAGTTTTCTACATTTCTTCCTACCTTCCTTCAAGGTCCAGTTTTTTCAGAAAGGCAACTCTTGAAACTTTGGGTGTTGATGATGCTGAATAAAACCTATCCAGAATGTTCTTGATTATCATGGATTACTTGCTCTTACTTACTGAAAAGTTCTTATTCCTCTTGCTTACACTGCCTGCTTCAAAGGTTAGATCCATCACTTTTTGGCCTTTTGGCTAAGATCAAGTGCAGAGGTTAGATACAAAGAGCTTCTTAGACATTTTCATTGAACTGTGTCAGAATATGTTGGCCTGATGAATCCTTTCAACCTACTCAGATCTCTTCTACTCAGATAATTTAGACCTCATACTAGTGATTATTTTGAGGTTAGACTAAATTATATATCATCACATTGTCTGTTCTTGGCTCTAAAAATTTTGTAATGGCCTTTGACATTCCAGTGAAATTCTGTTTCCTTTTTAAATCCAGTGGCATTCTAATCTATATACTATAGTACGTTAGTTAGGAAACAAGTCTCTTCATTGTGTTGCTCTGGTTTTGTATTTTTAAGTGTTTACCTCTAGTTTTTGTTCTTTACAGCACACTCACATCCCTAGGCTAATACCTGTCATAACAAGCAACTGTACCTCTAAGTCCGTCGCAGTTAGAAGGTAAATTTTTAAAGTGCTTCCTTATTATTTTGAAATTGTTTAAAAACTAAGACAAATCCCAGGTCTACCTTATGGATAAAATGTCATGTTAGATATGTTTTAATATTATAGATCACTGTAATAAATGCTTTCAAATGCACATTCTTTTCCAAGGTACTCCCTCTACCTATATCATTAGTTTACCACATTCTATGAGTAAAGGTCATAAAGGTACATGTAAGAAAAAATACCATAAACGATGGCAGTAATTTCATAACACCAGTAGGAAAGAGAATATGCTGTGTGTGTCTTCTGATGGTGATTTCTGGGATTCTGAATTCCAACCAGACACCTTCTGCTATGGTTTTAGGAGATCCAGGCAAATAACTAGCTGGGTAACTAGCTGAGTGTATTATCATGTGTCCTGGTGTGAGGTGCTCTACTCTACATGTGAAGAATAAGACTCTGTCTCATTAGCTTAGATTGGTAATTCTGGACTGAATCAAGAGTCTGAAAATCTGTGGATCCCATTCCCAGCAAAATGTAGTCTTATGTAGGTTTTTTAGGAATTCAGGGACACCTTCATGGAAAGTTTCTCAGTGGGCCCTGCTGGAGGGTAATTTAGTGGGCTGATGCAGCAGCCTTTTGGCCTCACTCACATGGTTCCCTGCCTAGAGCTAGCACAGTGAAAAGTGCTTCACTCTTAAGATATAGATCTCAGCTTACTTTAGCTGTCTACTGTTTGTGTCCTGTCTTGGGGTGTCATGTTGGTTCTGCCAGCCTTCTGCAAGTAGGAGACCTCCTAAGCATGAAGCAGTCCTATATCCATCTTTTTTTTTTCCTTTGGGTGGTACTAGGATTTGAACTCAGGGCTTAAGACTCACAAAGCAGGCACTCTATGCCTGAACCAACCTCCAATCCATTTTGCTCTGGTGATTTTGGAGATGGGGTCTCTTCAAGCCATTTGCCTGGGCTGGCTTCAAATCTCCAGCTGCCTGATCGTATCCTTCCAAATAGCTAGAATTACAGGTGTGAGCCACTGTGCCTGGCTCTTCATCTATTTTTAAATTGTATGTTGAGCTTGTTAAAGACTAATTGATTAATTGTATGGAGTATGAGCTTTTAAATTGGGAAAATCATGAGAAAGAAAGTTTAGCCATTTCAATTAATAAAGATTAGCATCTCTTTGTTTCCTCATGTGGGTTTCTAGGACTTTTACTCCCACAAAGACAGGAACCCTGGTATTCAGTAAAAGGAAATTATAGAGAGGTAGGAACCCAAAGTAGTGCTATAATCCAAAGGAAGTGAGCTCTGAATCTTTTTTGTGTTGCAAATCAGACAACAGAGATCATAAAAGTGAATAGGAAGAATGTTGAAGATTTGATGAGTGGAAATGCAACTGAATAGCTAGATTTTAAGTATGTCCTAGGACGTTATCAGGAAAATTGAGAAAATACTTAGGTTTTTCAAGGTATTTTCTGCTTTTTTTTTTTTTTGTGCAAGGCATTCAGTAAATTACTAGAAAGGCCAGTCCTCTGGTTCTGTAACATGTGTTAATGTTTTGTGCATGTATACATTCTGTATTAATGTATTATTTAGAGTAGTATTGAAACAAATGATGACAGACTTTTTGGTAACATTGCTGTAAAGCTCGGCCTTCTGATTGGAGGGGGATCTTTTGTGTGCTGTCCCAAATCCCTGTGATCAGTGCTTTATCACTTTCACCTGCTTTGGCTTTCAGTCAGTTCTGATTCTTCTTTATGTCCCATTTTTTGTAATTATAAATTAAGAGAACTTTGCCAATTATAAAAAAAAAAGTAGTATTGGCTCATTTAAGAGAAAGCTGTTTTATTTTCTGTGTTTCTTAATACTTTGCAGGCGCTGTTTTGAATTTTTAGATTTGCTTTTACAAGAGTGGCAGACACATTCACTGGAAAGGTGAGCATCTGTCTGATTTGAAACTGCTTTCTCCTTTGGACTGAATCTTGAGATTGAATGTCTCATCAAGTGATCCAACCACCTTGTAGAGGAAAGGAAGGAACCTGAGCTTTTTTTACATGACTGTGGTTTCTGTTGCTTTTATTGAAATACTCCTATGCCCAGGCATGTGAGCAAATGTGTGTTCTGATGCTGCAAAGCTAGGGTGGACTCCACTGATGCTAGTCCTGCGGTTTAACATTCCCGTGTGTCCCAATAGGATGAAGGTTTAAAGCTGCTCTTAAGTCTAAGGCGGGTTACAACTCTTAGGTGTTTAAAGGAATTTCACTTGGAAAGTTTTCTTTTTTCCTCCCACTGTATTTGTCACAGTTCTCTTTACTCAGAGTCCTTACCCAGGGTGGTAGATGGAAACTTTTCATATCATCACAATTAAAAGTAGGATTGTGACAAAATCCTAAAAGAAGTATATCTGCATTAACTTTGAAATTATCTCTTTGATCTTTTTAGTTCCTGTCAATTTTTGGTGCCTATTGTTCTACGTTAAATTTGGAGACAGTAGATGGTGGTGTTGTGCCACACCTTTCTTATTGGTGTGTCATATGGTTTGTGAAGAGCTTTGTAGCATAGGAACCATTTTGTTAACAGTGGAACTTATTTAGGTGGTAGGAATCCCATTCCACACTGCAATGGTCAGAAATCTAACAAAGCCAACCCTCCCAGAGGTAAAATTTCATCTGAAAATACTTTAAAAGGTAGTCACTCATTTTTCAGTACTTTTTTATTCTTTAACCACTTGGGCAAAATATCCTCTTTTTTGGGTGATAGTTTTGGAAATTCAAGGTGGAAAGTAGTATGAGGTATTTAATATGGCAACAGGTGAGCAAAATAAAAAAGCCCAAAGACTCAGATGGAGGTAGACAGTGGAAAGGCAGGGTTTGTTGTTGGGTTCATAAAAGAATGAGCTAAGTAAGTATGGCCTGAAAAACAGTCAGCTGCAATTTAAAAACTTACAGAAGAGAGTAGGGTTACCCAGGTCCTTAGGTGAGGGTGGAGTAGGAGTGGGAACAAGATGGCCAGTATTACAAGTTAAAGGCCCTGAAAGAGCATTCAGAGCCTCCAAGCAGTGTGTTAAATGACTAACGATGGCACAAGGGCTCCATGTTGCACATTGCTATTTTGAAGTTGTTTCACACATCTGTTTTTATTCATATAAAAACATGTACTTAAAAGTTGTTACTGCTTTCTTTTCTAAATATCTAGACACATATCAGTATTAGCTGAAACAATAAAGAAGGGAATACATGATGCTGATTCTGAAGCAAGGATAGAAGCCAGAAAGTAAGTTTTTATTGTCCACATGTGTTATATGAATTGCCTTATTAAAAACCCATTAAGTTACTTGAACATGTCTTATTAATCATGACTTTTAAACATGACCTCAAAAATCCATTTCAGAATATTTCTCTAGTTTTTTTGTTTAAAATATTGGCTGAATGATGCTGAATATAAATAGGACTGAGATAAATACAGTGCTTATTTTCAAATTGATGAGAAATTATCCCATATATCAAAAAAGCACTTACCTTCAGACTCAGTGTACTTGAGCTCTGTTAAAAGCCGTGGTGATCCAATGTATTTTGTCAGTTTACCATGAAAAGTCATGGTCACAGGGTATTCTCTGCCTGGTAAGTGTGAATCATGGTAGGGGTATTGGATTGACTAATGCTTGGGATTGTCACAGTGATAGCAAGGTGTTTCCAATTCATGATGGAGGTGGTTTTGCCATTAGGACCGAGTCCAGTCATGTGTCCGTAGCTCCCTATATCCATTACCTCTCTGGGAGTAATTTTGCTATGTGACTATAAATGCCAGAAGTTTGATGTTAAGACTTACTCTCTTGGGGCTGGGGATGTAGCTCAGTGGTAGAACACTTACCTAACATGAGATCCTGGGTTTGATCTCCAGCACCACAAAAAGAAAAAAAGACTTACTCTTGGTCATTGCATAGGTAACACGTGTGGTTGTTTTTCCCACACTTCATTGTTAATCACGTCTTCTAATTGATGCCAATTAAAATCTTGTTTTACTCTTGGAGCATTACAGTTTTATTTAGCTGTATTAATAATCTCAACCCAGTACTTCTTTTTCCTTGATTGCCCTTGCAGTTAAATGTTTTTCTTATTTCTGACTTCCTAACTCTAAAACATTTCCTCCAATCTAGTCTTGGGTGGTACCTACCAAAACAAATGACATAATTAATAGTTGCTAAAAACTATTCAGGATTGATTTGTTAATGTTCTACTTATGCATAGTTTTTTTTTTATCCTTGCATTATATTTTCCCACCCCCAGTTTTTTCTAGCTATTACTAATTGATTGAAATTATTCAGTCAAAATGTGATATAGATATCAAGTACTTCTGAACATTTTTCAATTTTTCTTTTGTATATGTTCCCAAGGAAATTTTATATCCCCCAGGAATATCAAATTGTATGCATAAAAGCTACCACTACTGAGTCCATCCTGTGTTCTAGGTATAGTTCTAGTAGTTTTAGTCTGACTTCTCTATAGCTCCTCAGTCTTATAAGTTAGGTTCTTTAATCCCATTTTATAAATGAGCCTGAGGTTCAGAGAAGTTAAGTAACTTGTCCAGTATGAAAAAGTCAGTAAGTTTTGAGGCCAGGATTTATACAAGACCTCCTTTATTCATCCCTCTTCCTTATTCCCTGCTGCTGCTATGTGGTATACTCCAGAGCTCAGCGTAAGTCCTGTCAGGATCCACAGACTAGACCAGGAGCTTGTGTCTTTTTCCTAGATGTTACTGGGGTTTTCACAGTCACTTCAGCAGAGAAGCAGAGCACTTATACCACACCTTGGAGTCCTCCTACCAGAAAGCCCTGCAGTCCCACTTGAAGAACTCGGACAGCATAGTGTCCCTGCCTCAGTCAGACCGCTCGTCTTCCAGCTCCCAAGAGAGTCTCAAGTAAGGAACTCAGCTTTGCTGGTCATAGTATAAGCTTTTATATTTCAAAGTTTGCTGCATGGAAACACAGTGCCAGCTATGGTTTTAGTGCATACCTATTAAAAGTCTCCCTGACTTCAGATAGACTCTGGTACTAGGCAAGATACTGTGCAGAAAGGTAAGAAACAGGTGGCCTTGGTCTCTGCCATGAGTGGTTTTCTTCAATTTATATGGCATCTTAGAATACAGTTTTAGAATGACAGTGGAAGTTAAGAGAATAGTGTGACTAATACACGTTAATGCTTTAGAGAAACTTCAAAAGGATCCTTAACTAGAAACAGGTTTGGAGGAAGAATGTTCAAAATCTGGGACTTAACCTATTGCCATCTTCTTTCCAAATTTCTAATTTCTGCTTCTAGTTACTATTTCGCTCTGTGTTTGAAAGATAGTCCCAATTAATAAAATGTTAACGCTTTGTCAGAAACGGGTTTTATGAGATCATAGTCCCAATTGACTGAAAAGTTCTAAAGACCCTGAAATAATTCTACATTATCATAATTTCCTGTTGTAGTTTGTAGTTGTATTACTACAGATAAAGATATTTTGATAATAAATGTGTGTATATTTTTATTTGTAGTCGGCCACTCTCTGCAAAAAGAAGTCCCACTGGCAGTACCACATCTAGAGGTAAGACTATAACCACAGAGCAGGCGAGGGGAAGGGGTAGAGCATTCCCTGCTTCCGATGGGCTTCTCAGCTCAGTAATGTGCCGCTCTGCTATCTGCTCTGGCTGTCCTTAACAAAGCTCCGCTTCACCAGGGCCAATTGCTCACATGTCAGGATGGTGTAGGCAGGTAGAAATATCTATGGGCTCTCCTCAGTACCTCCCTCCAGCATAACCATCGACCATGCTTCTGCAGACAGTGCTGCTCTTTTCTCAGATCATGTAATATGCAAATAAGGGCCTCTTGAGACGTTCAGCATGGTGGCTGTTGGAAGCAGGAGAGGGCACATTTCCTGAAAGTGAGCGAGGGCCTCTCAATGCCTAGCACATTCATCTTGCATCATGAGGAGGCTTTCAGATGGGAACTTTTTTCATTATTTTACTTCTCATAGTAACCAGCAATGTGGGCTGTTTCTTTGGGTTTGTTATCTTTTGATTACTAAAAAATAAGTGTAATAGAAAGTTGGGTCACTTGGTTTCTTTTCAGCATTGCCTGAACTCTGTCTTCAGGGCAAAGAAACTCTTGGTCATTCCTATGGGCTCCACCATTTGTTATAACTTTTGATGTTTATTTCAAAGAAAAGCAATACAGCACCAGGTTGACAGTATATGTTTTTAAAATTCTAATAGGCCTTACTGACATTTCCTCCCTCATCACCAAAGCTTCTACAGTTAGTACGAAATCCGTGTCGACGACTGGGTCCCTCCAGCGGTCTCGAAGCGATATTGACGTGAATGCAGCAGCCAGTGCCAAATCCAAAGTCTCGTCCTCTTCAGGCTCCACACCCTTCAGCTCTGCAGCAGCATTACCTCCAGGGTCATATGCATCTTTAGGTAACCAGACTCCCCGGACCCCTTATGCTGTACAAAGTACCCTTACCTCTTATAGAACATCATAATAAAGGGAAGTCTCACTGTTACAGGGCTGATACTGAAGTAAAATTGTGTTTGCTTGGAACCCATTCCCAGTCACTCTTTCTAGTGTCTCCTTTCTCTAATGCATCCTCCTGTTCACTGGTGAATTAGGACATGCAGCCTTGCAGGTGGTGTAGCCCTGAGTTTATCCTTCCCTCAGCTCACCTCCTCTAGGGCAAGCCTGGCCAGTGCCTCAGCCACCTCCCATATTCCCTGAGCTGGCTTTTTCCTCCTGGCACTAATGGGAACAGAGCTCAGAGAGGGAATTGCCACTATAGCTAGGAGCCTGTCAGAGTTGGGTAGTGATGAGGATTCTAAAGGAACATGGTAGAGTCATTAACTGGCATAACCACATCTGTGCAAGAGAGCACTGTCCACCCACATGTTTCCTGGGAGGAGCCCTTCTTCTGATGATTGCACAAAAGTGTTTTTAAGAAATTATCTTCCAGAATTTAACATCTGTATAGTGGTAGGTCAATTTCTCATTTTTTTTTTCAGCAGACCATTATTTGTAAGGTTAGTACTGGATTTCATTGTATTTTAGTAAAAAGCCAAGTCAAACTCAAATTCTGAGGACTTAGTTGAATTAGTTCTACTTTGGATTTTGAGGAAATGAATAAAATTTAGACATGAAATCCTGAAGAATCCACAGAGTTCCTTATGTGGCCCATTAACGAATTGCAAAGTTAACTCTGACACTAAATTTCTGAAATGTTTTTAGTGCTGAAGTGCAGCAAGAGAATAGCACTTAGAGAGGTCCCTGGCTTTGCCCATCGTTAGCCCTGTGACCTTGAGCAGGCCATGCAATCTTTGAATCTTTTCCTGCCCATGAACTGCTTGGGATAATGGCCACCCAACTCAGATACATGATGATCATTGAAATTACATGAAGGTCCTTTGTCAGCTATTGTCCTGGAAGGTGGAAGAAAGTGGGATTTTGATAGGTGCATTATTAACTTGAGAGGTGTATGTCCTGGAGCGTGTGTTTAGTGAGTCTCGTTTTCTCTGTAGAAATACATATAGTCATTCCCACAGGAAGAAGCCCATTTTGACTGTTACACTGTTATGTCCACATGTTAAGATGTTATGTTGCTGTGTAATCATTAGCAAGGGAAGAGTTCAGCCTTTGCTCCTATGCTGAATTAGTTCTGTCATTTTTGTTTTAGCTCCATCTTACCTGTGTTTTGATACATTTGTTCCACCTTTAGTATTTGTAATTAATATTTGTTTCTTTGCTGGAAAAGGAGTAAAACAAGCCTTGTGGTCTCTGTTTTCTGTGCATATCTGGGGTACTTAAAGATGGAGACTACCCCAGTGCTAGTGAAAGCTCTAGGTCTTTGGTCTGGTGATAAGACAACTGAACTTTCAGAAGTGCCGAGGACAAGTTTTCAGCCCAGTGTCACCTCTTCAAACAACAAGATGGGAGCATTCAGATTTTCTCACCGTTTGCTGAGAATTCTGCCTATGCTTTACTTATTTATATCCCAGAACAAAACCAAAAAACTGAAATTGTACATAGTCCTACTGAGAATTTGTTACAGTTGTTGCTTAGGTTGACATGACCTCTGTGCAAAAGTGTAGCATAAAAGCTGATGATCCTTTTCCGAACTTCTAGAGTCCAGACACATGAGGGAAGACATGGAGTACATAGGCCTGGATGCAGGTACCTACGCCGTCACTGCTGCTGGGCGTGTAGTTGGGATAGGCTTTGCTCAGCCAACCTCTCTGAGCTTTCTCACTGCCTCTGCCCTCTGGTGATTCTTAGTACTTGATAAGTCTCTCCTGCTCCTCGCCTCCTGCTAGTACTTTCTTCCAATGAAAAGGAACTCTTAAGAGGATGAGGGTTGACTAAAGCAGAAAATGACAGTCACTCTTTTAACTGTGGCACAACCCTGGGTTGCCCTTTGTGTTTTATTTTCCAAAAACAAAACCACACGACACAGTCTAAGGTACTTTACTTGCTTCAGGCTCTGCTTCGCTGTTGAACTTGTTTTCCTTTTGGTTTTTGTTTTAAATTGTACTTTTGCTTTTTAGTAGCTAATAACATTCTGCTTTTTTAATTTTTTGAATGTTTTTTTAACTAACTGTTCCCTGTTATCCCTTCCCTTGTTTTTTAATTTGCTTAAAGATGGTACTACCACTAAAGCAGAGGGTAAGCGGTTTGTTTCTGTGATTGAGGTGTGTCTTACTTTCTCTGGTCCTCTGTCCTTACCAGTGTTGCCTGGGACCCACTTGTCCTCACCAAGGTCCCTGCATGAGATGTTGCACGCTATTTCCTCCCTTTTATTCTGCCTCCCCTGGGGTTTTGCCTTCCCTCTACCTGAGTTCTCCTCCCCCTTCTTGTTCAGTCTCTGTTCTTGTGAATTTTGGCACTGAACTATCTTGTGCGTGGTTTGTAACGCTGAGTCCACACTCTGGGGAAGGAGCATTGACGTCATGTTGTGTGCTGCTGTCTTCCTGGGCTGCTTGTCTCAGATTTTATTCTCCTGAAGCTTTTCTTTCCTTTCCTTTTGTGCTTTTGTGGGTCTCTCAGGATTTGCCTTTCCTGTTTTGAAAATAAATTTCCATGTCAATTGATCAGGTTAAAGGCTGGTAAAAGTTTTTTACCAGGTAATATAAAGAATTTTTTTTAAATGCTTTTCTCTCCCCTAAAGGCACGACAGATTATATGTTACTATTTTTATTTGTGTTACTGACACTTGCCCCTGTTCATTCATTTACACTCATTCATCCACTCGTCAGCCACTTGTTAAATAAATGCCTCTGTGTGCTGGGTTGTGCGGTATACCAAGAACACAGCATGGCAAAAGAAGTATGCAAATCTAGACCATCGTTTTATCTTTTTATGCTATTGTCAAGAAACACTTTGATTTTTTGTTTTGCCCTTTGGATTTTAGACATAGCCATTCTGGTCAGTGCAGATCTTTGATTAGCACACAGTGGTCAAGTTTATTCCTTCCTAAAGTTTCTAAATAGAAAATAGGTTAGTGGTTCAAACTATTGAAATTTAGAGCCTCCTATGCTTAAAATAGTGGCTGAGACCCATCAGCCCTGGGGATAGTGACTTATTAATTAACAGCTAAAAATAATAATAATAATAATAAATTAACAGCTAGTTCACGCTCATATTGTTCAACCACCCCAAAGGGCTGGCATACAAGGGGAAACTGGGCACTAGCTGGATGTGTAGACTGAGCTTTAGCCACGTAGTTGTTGTAGTATATATTCTACTTCCCAAAGTAGTCAGAAAGAAAAAACAGAAATTATTAAAAAAAAAAAACATGAGCATAGTTCCCGTTTGCTTCTCAAACTTACTTCATCATAAGAATTACTTGGATTGGGCTGGAGGTGCAGCTCAAGCACAAAGCCCTGAGTCCAACCCCTAGTAACACACACACACAAAAGTATGCTTGATGAAAACACAGTCCTGGGTGTTTCCCCTAAAGATGCTGATATGGTTTAGAAGGATTGGAGAATCAGAATTTCCAGTAAGCCTCAATGGTGGTTATTGGGGTTGGACAATTTTCTGAAATGAAAATCGGACAAGAAACCTCTTCCTGATCACTTGTGATAGCAAAAGCCCGAGGCTGGGTGTGATTATGAAGCTGGGTGATTATTCTGTTTGTTCATCTGACAAAAGTAATTTTGTATTTCTTGTTCCCAAAGAAACAATCCTACATGTTTTCTCAACCTAGCTGGAAGGGAAGTAGAGGATAGAATAAAATAATGTACATGAAATAGAAAGCCAAAGCATCTTGTGGGAAGTTACATATTTTTTTTCAGAATGCCCTGATGTCACTTGCCTATACAACAGAATTACAATCAGCCTGTTAATTCTACCCAGCCCTAGGAATTTGTAACGCTTTTTTTCTTTTTTATCAGTTCTACAGCCTGAGCAAGGTTAGAATTGCCGTTCCAATTATTGGGCAAGAGACTTGTCTTTCTGATTTTCCTTCTGATAGGAGAAATGGTGGAATCATGTGTGATCCTTAATTTTTTTAGAGAACACAGAATCAGGAAATAGAGAGCCATATTAAAGGAGCCTGATGAGTGTCATGTCTGTTCCAGGCATGCGGGGGCTGTAACAGAGTTGTGTGATGATGAGCAGGACAGGTGCCCTTTGGAGATCTGTCATCTTGACATGTATAGGCTATCCCTATTACTTTTGTCTTAACAGTGAAACACAGAGAGCTGGTGATACTGAGACATTCTGCCAGTGGTTACTAGCAAAGGGGCCTCAGTAACCTCACTCAGTGCCTTGTCAGCATACTTGTCTCATCTGCATTTTTTTAATTGTTATGACTCGCTTTTGTAGTGCTAAGGATCAAACCCAGAACCTTGCTCATACTAGGCAGCACTTTACTGCTGAACTACACCCCAGCCCTGTGCCTTTAAGATTTTGATTTATAAATCTGTTAAATATTTTATTGTCTGGCCACCTAAGATAGGAAGAGAGAATTTCATCATTAAAAGTTCAGAGCCAGGCGCTGGTGGCTCATGCCTGTAGTCCTAGCTACTCAGGAGGCAGAGATTAGGAGGATTGCGGTTCATAGCCAGCCCGGGCAAATAGTTTACAAGACCCTATCTTGAAAATACTCATCATAAAAAGGGCTGGTGGAGTGGCTCAAGGTGAAGGCCCTGAGTTCAAGCCCCAGTACCGCAAAAAAAAAAAAAAAAATTAAGAGCCAGATTTGGTGATGCATACATGTAATTCTGGCAAACAAGAGACAAGGGCAGGAAGATCCTGACTTCAGGCTAGCCTGGGGTACATAACAGGACTTTGTCTTAAAAAACCAAGGACTGGGGAAGTAGCTCAGTGGTAGAGCATTTGCCTAGCATGCACAAGGCCCTGTGTTTGATTCCTAGCACTGGAAAAAAAAAAAAATCCAGGCAATCCTTCTGTATTCTGGCAACTTCATCATTGTAATGATTTAGAAAAATATCAGCTGGGCACTGGTGGCCCTAGTAATCCTAGCTACTCAGGAGGCATAGATCAAGAAGCCAGCCTGGGCAAATAGTTTGGTAGATCTTATCTCGAAAAAAGCCCATCACCAAAAAGGGCTGGTTGATGCCCTGACACTCAAGGTGTATGCCCTGAGTTTAAACCCCCAATTCCTCAAAAAAAAAAAAAATCCTTTGGGGTTATTTATTATATACATCAAGAATTTCTAACAATTATGACTAATTTTTGGTAAAGAACTCAACTTTTGGACAAAAGTTTTATTTATTTCTTGGTTACTTACCAGTATGTCATATGCAAGTAATTTTAGGGATTTGGATGAAGGAAGAATGCTGTCTATTCTGTTCACTAGAAAACTGATGATTACATATAAGGTAGTTAATGAATGTACTTGCATATTTTTAAATTCCTAACATTCATTCATTCATTTATTTATTTTGGTGGTCTGGGAACTGAACTCAGGCCCTTGTGCTTGTTAGACACTATACCACTTGAACCACTCTACCAGCCCTGGGTACTTTTTTTTTTTTAAGCTAATATGCTTAGGAAATTTTTCATATTTTCCCAAGATAAATGGTTTTAGATGAAAAATGACAATGCTTCAATGGCCTGTGGGTACCATCAACTCATTGATAGCTTCAAGGAATAATCATCTGTCACTACATCATCAAAAGCCAGGTCAGCTTAACTTTGGTGAGTTTAATTAAAATTATGCAATAAAAACTATGCAGACTCATCTGCTCTCCAGGGTAAAGAACTTAGATTTTAGTTCAGTTTTGCTGTTTATCCAAAAGCTCTGAATTTGAAGTAATTGGCCTTTTCATACAATTTAAAATATATCTATGTTGGTATATAAAAGTAGCAGTGCTAGATTTGTTTTACATTTATCTCTTTAAAATATAAAGGAGATTATTCTTTTGAGGGAGAGTTGTCATAGGTAACAAAATTTGCAAGTGATAAAGCTGTCAAATTTTGGTTCTATCAAAATGCAGTGTACAGGAAGAGGATGGTTTACTTGCACCCCCCAAGAAGTGAGATATAGAATGGAATCTCACTGTTAATTATGCCTAAATGTCCCAGTGTGATGAAAATTGAGATTTTTCTTGGAATACTTTGTAATCTATAAATTGAGGATTTGTTGCAGGTTTTGAAATGTGGGAGCAACAAATTAACCCACAAAAAAGAACCATGAGGGTACTTACTGGTATTTTAGCTGTCTTTGGCAGAACTGAATCTATGTATAAACCATTTCTACAAGTTCAACTTAGGATACAGATTTAAATATCTCCTGTTTTGGGGTCTTCTCTAGAAGAACAGCAATGTAATTTAAAAAGAATTTCTTGGGTTTTTTTTTTTTTTTTTTTGTGATGCTGGGGTTTGAACTCAAGGCTTCACACTTGCTAGGCAGATGCTCTACCACTTGAACCATGATCCCAGCTCTAAAAAGGAATCTCTAGCAGCAGTATTACCCAAAAGAAGCTAGACATGGTGGCTCATGCTTGTACTCCTAGCTACTGGGGAGGCAGAGAGTGAGAAGATCATGATCTTAGTCCAGCCTGGGCATAAAGTTCCTGAGACTCCATCTCAACCAATGAAAAGTTGGTTTGTGCCCATCATTCCATCTACATGGGAAGCATAACTAGGAGGATCAGAATCTAGGTTACCAAGGGCATAAATGAGAGACCTTATTTGAAAAATACCCA